AAAAAAAAAAAAGATAGTACTGTACTTAATTCCACAGATATATTCCATTAATCGAAGGAATAAATTATTTAAGAACCAGTTTAGAGGTAACTATTATGTTACCTGCCTGTAAGGAAAATTTCTGTGGGGTAGTTTAATTTTGCCATGTATGTCTGGTGTTTGAAAAAAAATGTTCATTTTTACAGAATGTTTATTGTTACAGAAGAGATGCATCATTTTATACTGTACAAGACTATAGAATTATTTTTATATGATAGGCTTCTTGTAAGCTGTTTCAGAAGAAAAAAAAGTGCTAATCTAATTTTTGCATGTATCCAGTAGGTTCAATAAACTGCATTTTTCTTTTACCCCCTAGTTGGTTGACCGAGTATTTGATGAAAGTCTCAATTTTAGAAAAATCCCTCCACTAGTGCATGCCAAACCACCAGAGGGGAATGGAAGGCCTAACGATGCTAGACCTCAGCTAACAGATGCCCTTGATCCCCCAACAATTACCCGGAGAAGGACTTGGAGCAGAGATGAAGTGAGTAAACAACAGGATTCTCTCTAGTAATGTGGCTATTTTAAGCTTTTACAATTGTCTCCCCACTTAATATTCTAGACATTATCCTTCCTTTCCTACCTGTAGCAGGTGGCATTAATACCGGGAAAAATTATTTGTGTATTTAATTTTCAAATTAAATGTTCAAATATGATTGTTTATATGTTATACTAATTGGAGCACAAGTATGATTTTTTAAAGTTAAAAAAAGATTTCAAAATAGATTTAATTGGTTTTATTTAATTCCCATTAAATTAATAATATCTTTTTCTATTAAAAACTTGTTGCAGGTTATGGGGGACAGCTTGCTGTTGTCCTCGGTCTTCCAATTTTCTCGCAAGATAAGACAATCCATAGACAAAACAGCTGGCAAAATCAGGTGGGATTTTAAAAATTATTGAAACATTACTGAAAATATTCTCTCATCAACATTCTTACTAGTAGAAGAGTTGTGTATAATATGGATATATCAAATGTTTTTAGTAGCAACTTGTGTTTTAGGAAAGCAGTATTACTGATGGTTTTTTCAGTGTTCAGAAAGACTTGGGATGAGTAATTTTTCCATTATTGCTTGTGTGTATTTCACATTATATGAAGATAAATATCAGCAAATTTTACATGGACAGAAAAATATACATAATACTTCCAGCAGAGGAGCTGTTCCAACACATGCACATGCTGTGCAAAATCTACATAATGTCTATGCAAGTCTTCTAAAACTCCCTTCCTTAAAAGATAAGGTTAAAATGAAGGTTAAAAGGGTCTGAACTGTAAAACCAGGCCCTTCGCATTTGCCAAGTTGTAGGGATCACCTCTTTTAGGAAGAAAAATAAATAGGACAGAGAGTAGTTTCAGTAACTCCTTCTGAAAAAGAACTTGCTCTGGAGACAATGTGGTCACTGTTGAGTTCTAAATCTAAAATAACCGATGTAGCTATCTGTTATTTTTAGTTGAAAATTCATTAGATTCCTACATAAATGTCATAGTAGCTAGCAGGAAGTATAGACAATTAAAAACGATAACATGTTGCTCTACTAACAGCTCCATTTAACTTGAATGAGTGAGTGTACAACCACTTGGTGACCACTTTGGTTGACAAGTATAGATGAAAATTCTAAATACAAAGTCCAGGATTGTGTAATTCACTTGTCCTTCTTCCTGTCTTTGTGCAGTTAATAATTTAAAAACAGAGTACCTGAAAAATAAGAAAGTAATTTGACTGTACTTCATGTATAATTTTCTGAATGTGATAAAATGTAATTGATCAGTTTGTCTAGAAGTGTCAGATATTGAAATCTTAGATGGGTGACAGATTAATGACCGAATAAAAAATTTATTTTAGCATAGGGTGATGTAACTAGTTAAAGCAGCAATGTACTAACATATCTGAAGGTTATATTCTTGTGCTAGTACCAAAACAGACGACAATAGAAATAAAGAAGAAAAAAAATAATCTATATAAATTGGTAAAAATTGTGGGTCATCTGCCATTTCTAGTCCTGCAATTTCTAGTAGGAAGAGTATCAATGAGTGAAGAATCACATCTTTAGAAGCCTGCAGCCCATTCTTATTGTTCCTGTTCTCAGGTTTTTTGTGCGTGTTTTTATTGGTGGGTACAGGTAACATTTGTGAGTACCTTATTTCCACTGTCTTGGAACATACTTCTGGACTGACAGTCATCTCAACTCTCTTTTTCCAACTCACCATTTGGGGCTGCAGGAATATGGCAAATAATGCCATTTGCTACCTTTCCCTCTTTGGTTTCCTGATACATTCTTTTCAGTATCATACAATTTATTTAAATATCATTAAACAAAAGAGATAAATGTCTTGCTATGTAAATTTCAGATACAATTGAGTTAAATGCAGGTATACAATACTTTTACTATCAAAAACTGTGCCAAATGAACAGAGTTCAACTTCATTATGCAGAATTTATGACAAATTATGCAAAAGTTCACAGCTTGTTCAAGTTTTATCAACCTCTGAGTGCATGCTGTCATTTACTTTAATAGCTGACCTCAAAAAACCAAGCAAATAAATACATGCAAAGAGGTACTTAAGCGTGACCATTCTTTGAAAATCATTGTAAAAAGCATTTGAAATTTGGAAATAGAAACAAAATATTATGTTAAGGGTTTTTTTGAGCATAGTTATCTGGAAAAACAGTGGCATCTATAAGGAACTCTGCTTACCAATGTAACTTTTTTTTCCTTTTAAAGCTGCATCATTGGAACAAGAATCTTGCTTATTGACTGACTTATTTCTGGTAGGCGACTAGGATGATATGTATCTTAAAATGCCTCAGAAGCAGTAGATAGTAGATACTCTACTTTTTTCATCGTGCAGATTTTTCTTGATGGTTGACAGTTTCTGATCTGTAAACATGTTGCTAGCACAGCTGTAGTTTACTTAACATAAAAAACTGCGTTCAGTACAGTGAGTTAAAACAAAATTATGTATGCAAATTAATCCTGAGAAAAGCAGGTAATTACAAAATCAAGTCTTATACTTTTCTGATTAATTTTCTGAGCTTAAGAGGTAAGTCAGCTACATTGTAATGAATGTAATAATTATGTGAACACGTATGATATTATAAATAAATGCATACCTATAAACATTTTATATACATTTAAAGAAAGTGGCATTGCTTATTTCTAGAAAAATAAAGTGGAGAAACTTTCATTAATAAGTAATTATTTAGCATATTCCCCAAAGCTGTGATCAAAACTTCCTTTTCCTGCTACTCAGAAGGGATTTGAATAATAAAGATGTTATTATGTCTTTCATATTTTGAATCAGAAAAACAACCATAGTTTTAGAATTGTTTTTAGAGACCATATAAGGCAGCTAAGACATATGATAGATTTTACCTTAGCTTTGTTTACATGTACATGAGTTCAACCAACTGTGTACTTCTATTCCTATTACTGGAGTTAAGCCAGTTAAAATTTCTGCCTACACAGATACAATGAGAATCAGTCAGGATTTGTCAAGCTAGCAGTTGTATATTTTTTCCAGAGTACTTGAACCTGAAAGGAGAGAAGTTCTTAGAGGCATCAATAAGAGTAAGCCTGAATGCGTTTTAAATCTTCTAGGGCTCCAGTGTAAACCTCTCACAGACAGTATAGGGCAATTATGGTCCTTTCAGATTGCATCATACATATTTAAAAACTTGCATCCTTCCTGTCTGGGCCTAAATAGAGAAAGACGTGCTTCCTGTGAATGTGAACACTCTTCTTTCTGTAATATTTTAGTTGCAATAGCTAGCTTTACAAAAAGACCCATTTCACTTTGACTAAAGTATTAAGAACATAAATATTTTCAGTCATTCTTGACAAGCAGATCTATCACAAATTAAAATGAGCTAAAATCAATCATGAAAATAAATTAGTATGCAGAGAAAAGGAAATTTATATATTTTTGCTTCACTAGTTTCTTCCCTATTTCATTAGAGCTGCCATTTCTGTTTTCTAATTCATAGATAATGTTCTCAGTTCCACTGAGTTCTGTTACTGTTCCTACCTTGTATTAAGAAGTAGAGGATTGAGAGAAGCTTTTGACACTGTGTTCTTCAAATAGATTCTCCCAGTGCTGGCAAAACTGTTTGGTTTTCTCAGGTCCTAGCATGATGTTCAGATTGAACCAGATTCAGGTGTCTGATTCTTTCCTTTCACCAAATCCTCTGTATATTTATAATTTTCTTCAGGATAAGGTCATAGCTTGGGTATTGCTAAGTTATTTTTTATAGTTTATTTTTATTAATTACTTTGTATAATCAGTTAGATTCTTACCTGCTTGTGTAAACAAGAATACATTCCATTTAAAAATCCTGAATATATGAATCTTATAACCCATTCTTTGCTAACAAACTATTGTGTTGGCTTCTCAGGAAACAGATATGCATTTTGTTTGCTTTTCTGTCTATTATATGTTATAATGATGCAGGAATTTTCAGAGGTTATGGAGGGAAGAGGTAAGTAGCTTTTGCAGTGGGAAGATCTACATGGGTTTTATCCGTGCTCTGCAACCTGGAGGCGTTGTCATTGGCTTGCTTTGTAGCAGGCAGGTACCTCTTCAGTCAGGCAAAATCTAGGCAAAGCATTCAGGTTGGTGCAGGTACTTCTTGTCAGTCTCTGCAGTTTGCTGTACATCCTGCAAAGTGCAATGAAAGAAAAATGGGGACTGAGCTCAGCCAAAAGAAAGTTCAGGCACATTTGTCCCAGAAAGTAGGAATGGGAAAGACAAGAGCAGAAGGTGGCAGGCATTTATAAATATGTTATTTTAATATAAAGAATATGGTTAGAAGGAGGAACGGCAAAGGAGGCAGAGATGAAGACCCCCAGGAGGTTTAAAATGAAGAATGGAGAAAAAACATTGTTAAAAAGGAAATAGGCTTCCTAAAATCATAGCAAAAGCAAATTGGCCTGGCCACTTCATAGTGGAAATAATAAAACTTTTAAAGTTACTGTTTTCATTTTTTTCCTCTTTTCTTTTTTAAATAAAATGACCTGTGAAATTGAAAGCATTCAAACTGTAAAAGAGAAGTAAGAACATTATCTCTGGAAGAGAGTAATACTGAAAACACCACATATAAAAGCAAAGGCATTAAACACATACATAAAGATAGAAGTATTTTAGTATAACATGAGCAAAAAACTAAATGAAAAAGACAAGCAGTGTCACAGTAACTCCTATATTTTTCCTACTAGTGCTGTTTACTGCTAAAAAAAAGCTTTATTTTCTATGTTCCTTCTGATTTCCAGAGTGATAAAATGCTATTACAGAAAGTATAGCTGTGTAAGAGTCTCTGTATACTGAATCAAAATATTTCCACAAGTACCCTGGTTTTTAGTGTAAGATCCTATAAAGGATTTAATTGGCTTTGCTTTTTATTTATTTAAACTCATCAGTGTCAGACAAGTCCTAAATTTTCCATGGTAACTGGAGTTTCTGGTATCCACATTTGCAGCTGTATGGCTTTGCAACTTTGCATTCCCTTGCAGAACATACAAGCAATCTTGTCAGATTTCTGATTATCAGCTTTTTTATGAGATCATGGCACTACCTGAGACCATAAAGTATTTCATGTTTTTTTCACTGTAGTTTTGATTACTTTTTTTTTTCCCTTCCTTAAGAAGTGTGTATTAATATTTAGTCTTTGTACGCTTTGTACATTAATACACTAAAGTCACTTGCAGAAGTGGTCATTTGCCTCGATCCCATACCATTGTGTCATGAGAGTAGCACTTCCTTGCAGTGAAACATCTGATAAAAACATGTTCTGAAGCAGCAGCAAGTTAAGACCTCAAAGACAGAAGAAGAGTTAAAGCAGCTTCTGGATAGGCTGTCTATGGGCATCTGTGTACTGATAAGATAGCACAGGGTATACGTTTGGAAAAACTGGACTTTCTTGATGGGATGATAATAGAGAGTGGGATTTTCTGTAGGGTATAAATAAGTGAAGAAAGATTAACAGAAATGCAGTACTAAGTCTCCCAGCTTTCTTTCAAATTCTTAGTGTTTATGAGATGCAAGGAGACCTCAATTTCCACCTTAAAAATTATTTCCTCAGAGACTTACCTACACTAATAACTTCTTTAAAGTGTACTACTTTTCAGTCATGATTTTAAATTGATTAGTTTGTTTGCTTAGCAGTTTTACTGCAGCAATTTTTGCACTTTTAGCTCTGAAATACCAATTAGAGAATAAATGGATTTGGACTCCTCTATGTCATCATGGTGTCACTTAAAAAAAAAATTAATACACAGACCTTAAATAACTGCACATTCCTTTTTTTTTTTTCAGTTGTGCAAATGTAGACAGTTTAAATTATGTTTATGATACAACAATGAAAACAAAAGTTATCACAGCAGGGAAGCAAAAGATAAAAATGGAGAATCTCACAGTATGCTTTGTGTTTTACAAATAATAGAAGTGACTTCTTTAAACATGTAATATAAGTGATACTTATATTACTAAATTGTTTATATACAATTTGTGTGTTGAGACTTTTCAGTTAAAATTTCTTCTGTGAAATGCATTTTTCATTTAATTTCCTGAAGTGTTTTACTTTTCATTAAATTAATACAAAATACAAATGTAAGAGTTGCATTTATTTACCATTGGTAATCTTTCTTTTCTGTTTTGTAATTGTTGTATAAAGCAGTGTTAATTGGGAATTCTTTAACTACTATAAAGTAGCTGATTTTTTAAAGAAATGTCTCAGTGCTGGAGGAAAGAATCAGATGTGTCTTTTCAAAACCAGCTACAGAGCCGTCATTTTAATGTTGATAATAATGATACTGCTGAAACCCTGTATGCTTCTCTGAAAATTTAAACTGTGTGGTTGGATTCTGTCAGTTTTCAATATTTCAGATTTTAGTTTTATTCAGTGTTTCCTATGCCACTTTCTTGTATTGTGTATCTAATATTTCAGTTTTAGTTTTTTTATCTTTGTCTATTTTAAATATACTGTTCTTGAATTTCTTCTAGAATATTATTTAAGGACAAAGACAGAAATTGGGAAGAAATTGAAAACAAGTTGCGAGCTGAAAGTGAAGTTCCTATTGTGAAAACATCAAGCATGGTATGCATAATTACCTTTTCTGGGATCGAATGAGCCTCTTAAAATAATCACTAGAGGAATGTGTTATTTTCAGTGATATAAAGGCAAAAATCTTTCAAAGGTTTTATTTAGACACTCAACATACTTCAGGAATAAGCCTGATCTTTTTTAATAATTACTAAGACTTACTATTGAATCTTCCAAAGAAACAGTCTTAAGTAATTGTTCAGGGGAAATTCTGATAAAGAATGCAGTAAAAGAGGTACAAACTGTATACAGACCACCAGTACTTTTATTTAATGAAAGGTAACAACCATTAGTTTGAACTTTGCCTACTGAATTTTAATACTTAATATATAATACTTAATACTATTAATACTGATTATTAATATTTAGATAAATAGTTGTATTTTGCTATATGTGAATGAAAATAATTTGTAGACACATTGCAATAAAAGCATTCTTCAACGAAAAATAATCATGTTGATTTTGTGTGGAAGTGATAACTGTAGGGTGCCAACTACAACTCTGGTTGATTCATGTAGTCTTCTACCCTTCCTAATTAGGGCCATTTCATGAGCAGACTGTGTGACAGTGTGAGGGAGCGGAGCACACATGTTGTTTTCTAGTACGCTTCTCTGCTTCTAAACACAGAGTAGGGTTTGAAAAACATCTCTGCATGTGAGAGCAGGCGGAGAGTCTAGCTACGTTGTCCCATCTGGAGTATCATGCTGTTGAGAATGTCAGCCTCCAGAGAGTTTTCTGAGGGAAAGGTGAGAGAGGAAACTCATTCTCACATACTTCATGCTGGACTGCTCAGAAGCAAAATGTGAACACATGTCCTCTGGCACCGAACTGGCTTGCACTTCTCTGTTAGCTCATCACTCATCTAGATTGATATTTCCTGGAAGTATTAAATACTTGGCCCATAATTTCTGCAGAACGGTATATTTTAGGGGCAAACATTAGTAACTCAGTGTTATAATTTATTAGATGCACTGACAGTTTGGGGTTTTTTTGAAAGTTTAATTAAGCAAGTCACTCAAGTTTCTAATTATAGAAATATGATAATATGAGGAGTTTCTCTTATCGATTTCCAGAATAAGATCAGAGTTTAGTGTTTTATATTCTAAATGCCCTCAATATCAGGTTTTAAGGCATTCATTAAGAAGAAAAAGATTAGCCATATATTTATTCCTAAGTTCAGCATTTTCCGAAATTTTTTTTCAGTGCATCAAAGCATCTCACATTGTTTGGAAGTGCATGGGGGTTTTTTGTCTACACACTGATTTTCAAGTTTCTGCCCAGTTTTCAGAGCAATACATTGTTCAAATGCAGTACTAAAGCGGTGCCTATTTTTACTACAGAATGTTATTAAAATTAATAGAGGACAGTTGTAACTGATGTTTATTTTGTCCTTGGGACATTTATGTTCAGCTCAGATGTGGAATCTGCTTAAAGATAATGACTTTATAAAATGCAAGGTAATCAATCTCTTTGCTACCCACAAAAATCACATTACTTAGTACGGAATGGGTTTCTGAAACAGGTTAAATGGGTTTCTGAAATAAATGCCTTTGAAAATTCTCAGCTTTGGAAGACCACTGATAGCTCTCCTCAGCAGCTGGATTAACAGTGTTCTTCAGGGTAGGATCCTTCGATTGTAGGATTTGCACATTTGTAATTTAAGATGTGGTACATTTAATGATTATTGCGTTTCTGAGAGCGTTGCTGTGGCTATGCCTGTGTTAGTAAGTAGTGCAGCACAGAGGAGAAAAATCTGTAAGGCAAACGAGTGCTGAGGACCCAGCACTGGTGTGCTGTACAGGGTCTCGTGGGCACAGGGCCCAGTGCTTGCAGACAAAGTGCTGACGCAGTCATCTTACTGTTCTGACTCACATCTGAACAAGGTGTGAGTCCTTGTTCCTATAAATCCTCCTATTCCATTAATACTGGGTTTATACTGAAACTTTCCTTTAAATATTTGCTGTTACTTTGCCCCATTTCTACCGAACCCTGGTGTCTACAAGTCTGTGCTTGAGAAAATGTAGTGCTGGCAGATGAGCAAGGGACAGCGTGAGGTTTTGTTGACCCTGGTAATCACCAGTGCAGGGGAGCTCTTGATTTCCGAGTGGGCCACAGCTGTCCAGCATCAAGCACTGCCACCCACGACCCATGGTGGACATGGCTGAGCCAACACCAGCAGGGGTGTTCTCGGTGCCAGGAGGGACAACCCAAATAGCATATTGCAAAAGTAGGGGAATGGGGATTGTTTACTATCGATAGGTATTTTGAGTCTCTTTTCCCTTAATGAAACACGTTTCTTTCTTTCCTAGGAAATATCATCAATCTTACAGGAACTAAAACGGGTTGAGAAACAGCTGCAAGGTACAAATCTTTTCTAACTTTTCTCATTCGTTATTGCTTGCTTTAATTTTTTTTAAAAAAAAATCTATACGTATATTTATAATATAAAGCAAAGTTATCACATTTTATTAAAATATATTCACAAGATCAGTTACATACATTAATGTCATATAATTGCTGGCACATTTGATAAAGAAACATCACTGAATTAGTTTAAAACAGGAGAGTGATGATATCTTTTTATATGGGTGAGAAAAGGCTCAACTGAAAATGAAATAGTCCAGAGAATCCCAAAGAAATTTTTTGTGAAACGTTCTTAATAGAAATATTTTTGTGGGTAAATATTGATGCGTAAGTGATAGAGAATCCTGAGATTAGGCTTTATAAAATAGTCTTTGCATATCAGTGGTACCATTATGTGTAGCACAGTTAAGCATAAGGAATGCACTGGAACCATGATCTATAGGAAATCTTAAAAAAAAACAAAACAACAACTTTATCGGATACAATAAAATGAAAATTTAAGATCAGCTCTTGACATCTTCCCTTCACACTACTGAATCCACTCTTTGTCATTGTGGTACCCACAGACTACAAAAGAGAAATTTACTTCACTTTTCACATGCAACAACTTATCTATGTATAAAAAGGAAAGAAGTATGTTTTGCTTACAAAGTGTGGTATTTATACATATATTCCATTTTTTCAAAATCAACTTTAAAACAGACTGTCTTTTTAAAAGAAGTTGCAGTCTTATTTGTGTATTGTTTATATACTTAGTTTATTGTTTAATTTGGAGTGGTCAAATGGATTACTGGTCCATGCTTATATATAATAACTATTGTATTTATTGTAGATTTCCTATATTTGTTATTTTTAGTATTCAGATTTAATCCTACAATAAAATATATTTTAAAACAGAGTATTTCAGGAGGAATCACTAGCCACCTTTACAGAAAATCAGTATTTGTTTCATGCTCAACTATAGTTAAAAAATGTTAATTTATTACAAATTATATTGTGTTTAGAGAACATAACAAAGAAATAAGGCCTAGAGAAAGAGGCCACATCATTTCCTTGTGTATGCATTGGTGTTCAAATAGATGTTAGTACAGTTTTGTAAATAAAAAAGAGTGAGGTTCTGTTAAATGTGATAAATGTATTAATAGTACAGTAAAATGAAATTGTACTAGGTGCTTCAGTTTACCTTCACTATGTGCAGGGAGAGGGACAGTAAGCCCAATGTTTGTGAATTGAAAAGGATAAATGATTGCTCTTCTGTACAAATTCCATTCAATCATGAAATTAGCAGCTATGGATAATTGGGGAGGGGGGCGTGAATGAAGCATAATATAATGGTAATATTGGAGAATAAGCCCCTTAGACATGACTAAAAATCCTGTCTTTCAGTCCCTGTAAGTTAATCATGGACAGTTTGTTCATCTCTCTTTCCTGTCCATGCATCAGACAGTGTTTAGTTTGTGCAGTTTCCTTTCATCTAAAGTTTTAACATACGTAAGTGCTTTTAAATGTATGTGTCAATTACATACGTGTTGGATACACCACTCCTTTGCAGTGAGCAACATACATAAAAGCTCATGTCTGTCATCATAAAAGTGTTAGAACAGGATTTTTGGGTTTTTTACAGTAACAGAAAATTGTATTTTTTATGGTTTCTTCCCTATGCCTTTCATCTTTTCTTGGTTGCTTAGCAATTAATGCTATGATCGACCCTGATGGTACCTTGGATGCTCTGAGCAACTTGGGATTCACCAGCCCCGTCTTACCAGCTCAGCCGAAGCCGAAGTCCAGTCCCGTTTCCCAGAGTACCCGCCCTCAAATACAGCCAAACTGCCAGCCTGAAGCTCGGGCTCTTCGACCCGCCGCTGTCCCTGTTGCAGCTGAATTTGAGAATGCTGAATCTGAGTCCAGTTTCAGCATACATTTCAATAGGTTTAATCCAGATGGGGAAGAGGAAAATGCCACCCTGCGTGAGTGACATCTCCGTGTTAATACAAATACCTTTCATGTGGAATGTTTAGGAATAAAGGAAAAATTGTAATATTGGTTTTATAATTTAAAAAAAAAAAAAAGCTTGGTCAAACAGCAGTTGTTTTCTTAAACCGGTTTTCTTTAACTATGATTCTTTGATTGACACACAAATCCTTTTCAAATCATAAAGATATGCATAGATACCAGTGTGGGAAAGCAGATCGTGGCAGGTTTGCCCTTTGTGGTTGTGTGCTTTGCAAAAGAATTACTGTATCAGCAGTTCTCCCTTAATAGATTTACTTCTTTTTAAAAGCCATGCAAGCAGTCTAACATTTAATGTTACCGAAACCCCAGATCTCTTTGCCAAGCTGCTCTAATTAAGGGACTTCCTCTAATTAGCTTCCTCCAGTAAAGTTTGTCCAGAACTGTTGAACAGCTACATTTGTTTCTGAATTAGATGATTTATATAGGAAACATTATCTTCGACTACAATGACACATTACTGCAAAAGGTAAGACAGATATCAGAAAGCATTCATTCTTGTGTTCTGAAAATCTCAAACAGTTCTGTGATTTATATAACATTGTTGCTGCCTAAATTGTCTTGGGGTTTACAAAGTTCACATATTATGTTTGCACTAAGATTTGCTGGGAGTGATAGGTGAACATATCAGTATCATTAAACAGCAAGCAGTGTTTTGGTGTACATAGAAAACTGATTAATACTGCACTTGTATTATCATTGCAGTGTTTTAATCCACTTTCTGAAAGGACTATTTGGCACTTTTTGACCTTCTTCAACTGTCTTTTTGATGTTAATGAAAGTAGAAGTATTTAATATCTCATTTCTGTCCAAATGTTTGTCGAAACTAGGAAATTATTTTAAAGATACAGCAATGTAGGAGATTTTAAAGCATATTGAGGCAAATGGGCTCTTACCAATTCAAATGCGACGTAAGCTTATGGAAGAAATTCCTGTTCCTGGGAATGATCATTAGATGTAAAATTTTCTTTAGGGGATTTGGAAATAGAGTTGTCATAATTTGCTTGATCAATAGATGCACTCCCAAGCAAATTATTTTATTTGCTTCTGTATATTTTCCTGTAATCTTGCTAGAAAAGCTGTCTCTGTCTTACATATTTAAAAGGATTCTGGAAGACAACTGCTAACAGACATTTTGCTTATACCACTGAAAAGCAAGTTTGTTTAAAGTTTCCTATATAAGCCTATTTTCCTTATAAGTTGTCCCAGTAACTTAACATTTGGAAAAAATAATAAAAATAAAAGTAAATTACTTTGTATTTCCAGAACACTGTAATTTGGAGGAATGTTATTTCTGTTAAATGTAACTAATAGACTGGAATTTTCCTATGTTTGCATCAGTCTCTATATATTAAGGTTAAAGATACAGTTTTGCAGCTTTTATGAAATGGTCTTTAATATTTCAGCAATAATCCTATATGACATTTGTTTTAAAAAAACGTTCTGTACACTTTTAAATTGTACAGGCTTTCAGAAGTCAGTAAAAGTTGGACCAGTTAATAAAAATGCAAAAACTTTTTTTGTAGAGATGTAAAAACAAAACCACTAATCTGTTGTATAATGGATTTCATATTTTCTTTAAAAAAATTAAAAGCAAACAGCCTTCATGTATAACTCAATATGCTCTACTCCAGCTAACTGTGGAAGCCTGAATCTCATGAGTTTACAAAGGCTACAAGAAAAGTTTTAGAAGGTGCAGAAGGGCAAAAATAAATTGAAAATAGAGCTAGGTGTGGAAAACTGAGAGTACCAGACCATCACCATAATTCCTTCTTTTGTTTAACGCTTGAGAACATAATTTTTCTGCAGACTTGAGGGGGAAAGTAGGAAATGGCTAGGAAGGATTAAGGGTGCAGGCTCTTCATGCAAGATTCTGTTTGTGTTCTTTCAGGCAATTATATCTTTACGTTCTGTAATAAGCATTTTGCATTACGATGTTCTTATTTTGTATGAACATGTTCTCCTTATTTATTTTTGTTACATTTATTATGTATGTTATTTTGTTATATGCATTTACAACTCCATTTTTAAATAAAGTGTTTCTGGAACTTTACAAATGTGTGACAATGTAATTGAGAGCTGGAAAGTTCACACAGTCTTCCTGCAGCCCAACTTACCTTCTGAAATAGGAAATGACATTTTTTTCATAAACATCTTTTCTCTGGAAAAAGTTGTATTATTGCTGCTGCTGCATCATTTGTTCTCTGCTGGCAGTATTGGCTCACTTTCCTGTACTCAGGTTCAGTTCCATACTTGAATTGATTTTTGTGTGCAAAGTTGGAGGCAAAAATAATCCAGTGTGCCAGTCACCAAATAGTGACTCGGTTTCCCTTTGTAGACTGAAAGCAAGTGAGTTTTAGTGCACCTCTCAGGTGTAACAGTAGATGGTTTCAGACTGCTTTCCTTCCGCTTCAGGTATTGGAAAGCTTCCTTGAACATTCTGATTTGGCTCCAGACTGGTGTCTTTTTTCCTTCTGTGCCAGCTTCAGCTCCATACGTACTTTCCTGCAAGACACTGAATTTCCTCTTCTCTACTTAGCTTCAAGCAAGAACAAAACTGAGACTTTAGTGTAAAGCTCCAAGAATTTCTTCCTAGCATAGGCATTTCAGTGTTGCTGAGCTTTGCTGTGACTACGCAGCAGCCAGCTCTTGCTTCTGTGCACCTCTTTTTCCTTTTTATCCCCAGGCTGATGGCATTAAGATTGCAGTAATGGCACACAGGAACACGCAGTAGCATTCAACTCTAGAAGGGCGGGAGATTTTTACTTATGTTCAGAGATGCCAGTTTGGTATCGTCAAAAGACCTGAAAAAGTTAGAAGGGCTTTCCAGGTGGTCAGGACTTTTTCATATCCCCCTTCAGCTGCTGCTGTTTCCTCACTTGTTGCCAGTATCACAGAATTGCAGGGGTTGGAAGGGATCTCAGGAGATCATCTGGTCCAACCCCCCTCCCAAAGCAGGTTCACCTAGAGCAAGTTGCACAGGCCTGCATCTAGGCCGGTTTTGAACATCTCCAGAGATGGAGACTCCACAACCATTCTGGGCAGGCTTATTCCAGTGCTCCCTCACTCTCACAGTAAAGTTTTTCCTTAAGTTTGTGTGGAACTGGTGTTCCAGTTTTGCCCATTGCTCCTTGTCCTGTCACTGGGCACCACCTATCCCCCATCTTTGCCGAACTGAGGGGAATGTACTTCAGGGTTAATATTCTCAGGTGCAGAGCCCCATTTCTGTAAAATGTAGTGTAGCATTTTGTTACTTCTTCCCACATAATATTTTCATCACTATACTTCAGGCCAAGGCGATGCAGAGATGTTTTTCAGAAGTCCTGAGGAAATCCAGCCAGATTGCATCAGTTCCCTGCTTCCTTTTGACATCCGCTAGTGGGGCTGACATGCATCGGCATAGCGAAAGCAGAGTTTACACCTTTTCTGATCACCACTGTTGGTTCCTCCCTTAGCTACCAGCACTGTTCTAATTATACACCTAACAAGTACTTCTAATGACTCTCACATCTAGTTGTAGCATGCAGAAGTAAAGCTAAGAGTACAATTTGTGTCCCTGACCTGGTAACAACACGAACATTATACCAAAAGCAATTGGTACTTCAGTATCAGAAGGAAATGCCGCTTCCTACCAAAAACTGAATTTTAGTCAATGCCTGCTGGAAGGCCTTTGTAATTTTAACTGGAAAGATTTCAGGCATAGAAAAGATGTACAATTACTGCTTTGACATGCAGCCATGAAAATAAGATTATACAGGAATGCGTGAAGCACTCTCTGAAATAGTGTGTGCAGTAAAAAGAGGCCACTCGCTACATGCCAAGGAGACTTTATACCACCAAGTCTTTTGTATCTGAAGAGAATTACAAGGAAGAAACTTAGCCACTCACCATACAAGTTGCTTAGCTTCATCTTGATGAATAATCAGATTTTTAAAAGCACAAGAATGTCATCCTTGACTTCAAGTAGAGCACATCTGTAAATGCTGGCAGGGTTACAGTCCTGGTAGCTCAGCCATGTTTGCCAGATACTAAATATATTTGACAATATCAGTCTTGGCCATATTGCCCAAGGACAGTTGCCTAATGCTAACAAACAGTATTTCCAGCTGCACTAGCTCAATAATCTTGTAAAAGCAGTTTTTGTTTTCCATTTGGTAAGCCTTACCCAGTGCAGTTCCTGCAAATGACATCCAGCAGAGCAGTGGTTGGGGAGCAAGGCATTTCCTTTTCAGATTCTTTTCTCACTATTCATATATTTCTGGAGGAAAATACGTAGTTAGCAAACAAGTGGGATTATGTAGCCCTGGAAATACTTTAAAGCAGGGTAAGTGGAAGCCTGTTGTCCAAGATCTTGATATTCCCTTGTTCCAACAAGTTAATAGTGAAAAAATAAACCCAGTGCTCCCTTTGCCTTGCTAACAACTTCATGAGCACTTACTGCTTTGTGAGATGTGAACATTCGTACCTCACATCTGAGGAGAGCTGTAAAATGGCGGTATTACAGAGTGCCCTCTTGGGGAGGCTGTATTAAAACAGGAGTTTGTAGTTACTGAATATCCTCACAGGAACACAGGGCAACGTCCTCAAGTTATACTTGCAAAGATTATTCAAGCACTGGGGCCTTAGGGGCAGAGTGAGGAGATAGAGATTTGTTCATTTCAGGGATACACCCTACACTTCCACTTACCAATTAGTGTGTGTCCTTGCTAAGTTCTGTTGCTCTTTTCCATCAGTTCCTTAGGACTAGCATTTTTAGGCCTGTTTTAAAAATTAATACACAAGTTTATAATTTATAAGGCTTTCTACTTCTATGGAGTAGCTAAGAGCACTGTCAGGGCTCTAGAGGTCTTTACATTATATTAAAAAATAACAGTTTAGCAGCATGACTTATCTTTCATACAAGCTGTAGTCTTTCTTAACAGAAAAAGCTGAATTAATAATGAAGATTTTTAAAAATGTGCAGCATGAGGTTTCTTAGTTCTGTATGTCTGTTCATACCGAATATTCATACGTCTTCATACACATGCACCTGTATGAAGCTGGA